GTTTTAGGATCTAGTGTCAGATTTTCCTTAAACAGGCTGATCATATTTACCAGGCCAAAATATTGTGGAGGGAGACTGAAACTCTCCCTCTTTAACTCATATGAAAACACTTTTGGGGTTTTTAGGTTTTCACACATATTGTGGATACTTCCTATTCCTGTCAGTAAATCCAGGTCTGCCTGTACACACTTCTCTGTTATTTCACTAAGTAGATTATTCAGTGTTGAACGGTGGTCTGAAATTTGCCTTCTGTTTTCGGTTAGTTTCTCTACAATACCCTTCTCTTCATTTAGTATTCTATTATGACTTGCTCCTTGTTCCTTTTCCAAGAAATTTAAAAAATGTTCAAATTCTGAGTATAATTCACTCTTTTGATTTTCAACCTTGAACTTCAATTCTAATAGTTTTGAAACTTGCATTTCAAATCTCCTTTGAGCTTCCTCAAACTTCTTTCTCAGAGGTTCAATGTAGCTTTTGAGCTTCCTTCTGTGACTAGTTGCAGCTTGCTCAATAGACATTAGGTGGTGACCCAAGTGGTTGGGGGAGATCCTGCATTGTAGACAGAGCAGCTCCAAGTCCTTCTCACAGAACAGGGCTAGGATCTGGTGGTGCTTCTCACATAGAAGTTTCTTTTCCTTGAGTTTCCTCTTGCTCCTCATTATTGGAAGTCGCTTCACAATATCAGTCATGTGACACAGTTGGGTGTTCCGCCTGAAGTTCCGGTCAAGGCAGTGGTGCAGGCAGATGGGACATGGGAAGAAGTCCTGTAGCTCTTCCCAGCACTGTTGGATGCAGGGATGACAGAAGTTGTGGCCACAACCAATGGTCACTGGATCTCTCAGGTAATCCAGACAGATAGGGCAGGTGGCCTGTACTTGGAGGTCAGCCAGGGAGGCAGCAAAAGCCATTGTGCAGTAAGGTTTTCAGTCAGAGGAAATTCTTGAGAATGCCCTAGGAGCTAGGAAAAAAAGAGAAACTAATGACCTCTCTGTAACCTGTCTTTCTTGTGTGCTTCTCACTGTCTATAAAAAGCTATAGTTGCTCAAGCCTAGCTCTGCTTTCTTCCCTTCAACTCTAGATGCAGCTACCTGAACAATGATACCAATCAAACTCACTGCCATTGAGTCGATTCCCACTCATAGTGACCCCCTTTGGGTTTCCCAGGCAGTAAATCTTTGCAGTAGATTGCCCAGTCTTCCTCCCATGGAGTGGCTGGTGGCTTTGAACCATCAGCCTTCTGGTTAGTGGTCAAATGCCTTAGGCACTAT